TGGGGGTGACGCATGCGGGCAGTGCCACTGAGGCCTTCGGTGACTATGGGGCCACGAAGCACTGCACTGGGTGGGGGGTGACGCTTGCGGGCGGTGCCACTGGGGCCTTCGGTGGAGCTCCCTATGGGGCCACGAAACGCTGCACTGGGTGGGGATGACGCATGCGGGCGGTGCCACTGGGACCTTCGGTGGAGCTCCCTAAGGGGCCACGAAACGCTGTACCGGGAGGGGGGTGACGCTTGCGGGCGGTGCCACTGTGGCCTTCGGTGGGGCTCTCCGTATGGGGCCACGAAGCACTGCACTGGGTTGGGGTGACGCATGCGGGCAGTGCCATTGGGGCCTTCGGTGGTTCTTCCTATGGGGCCACGAAACGCTGTACTGGGTGGTGGGGACGCATGCGCGAGATCCCACTGGGACCTTTGGCGGAGCTCCCTATGGGGCCACGAAACGATGCACTGGATGGGGATGACGCATGCAGGCGGTGCCACTGCGGCATTCGGTGGAGCCCCCTATGGGACCACGAAACGCTGTGCTGGGTGGGGGTGACGCATGCGGGCGGTCCCTCTGGGACCTCCAGTGGTCCCTATGAGGCCACGAAGCGCTGTTTTGGGTAGGTGAACAGGGAGGAAGGGCTGTGCTGGGTGGTGGTTGACGCATGCGGGCGGTCCCAGTGGGACCTTCGGTGGAGCTCCCTATGGGGCGACGAAACGGTGAACTGGGTGGGTACAACGCAGAAAGGAAGGGCTGTGCTGGGTGGTGGTTGACGCATGCGGGCGGTCACACTGGGACCTTCGATGGAGCTCCCTATGGGGCCAGGGCTGTGCTGAATGTGTGGTTGACGCATGCGGGCGGTCCCACTGGGACCTTCAATGGGGCTCCCTATGGGGCCACGAAACGTTGTACTGGGTGGGTCGAACGCAGGAAGGAAGGGCTGTGCTGAGTGGTGGTTGACACATGCGGGCGGTCCCACTGGGACCTTCGGTGGAACTTCCTATGGGGCCACAAAACGCTGTACTGGGTGGGCGAAACGCAGGGAGGAAGGGCTGTACTGAGTGGTGGTTGACGCATGCGGGCGGTGCCACTGGGACCTTCGGTGGAGCTCCCTATGGGGCCACGATAGGGGAACAAAAAGTGACATAAACATAAAAACTCGGAGGTCCGCGCGAAATTCTCGAATCGGCGCTGGGGCCACCCGGCGGCGCCTCCGGCGCCGCCCCTGGCGCGCTCCGCGCGCCAGGGAGGGGGGTCCAATGCCGATCCGAGAAATCCGCGCGGACCTCCGAGTTGTTTTGCTTATGTCACTTTTTGTTCCCCTACACCAAGCGCTGTACTGGGTGGTTGAAACGCAGGGAGGAGGGGCTGTGCTTGGTGGTGGTTGACGCATGCAGGCGGTGCCACTGGGGGTTTCGGTGGAGCTCGCTATGGGGCCACGAAGCGCTGTACTGGGTGGATGAAACGCAGGGAGGGGGGAGGAGGGGGAGGAGGGAGGAGGGGGAGGAGGGAGAAACTTGAGGAGGAACGCGGGGACCGTCTCTTCAAAACGAGGACCCAACACTACAGGATGGTTGGGAAAAGAAGAAACAGAAAAACAACAAGCATGGCGAAGAACCCAACCATATGCAGTTGTGAGTACCGTCGTTGCGGGTAACGCCTTCGGGGGATCTCTTCACGGGGCCATGAAGCATGCGAAGGGTGTGCCGATGTGGGGCGGGGCCGCCATGTAGGCGCTGCCACGGTTACTTTAGGCGGACCGCGCTACGGGGAAGTGTGAGGGGTGCGCCGCAGTGGGGCGGGGCCGCCACTGGGGCCTTCGGTGGAGCTCCCTATGGGGCAACGAAACAATGTAATGGGTGGCGAAACGCATGCGAGCACAGCCACCGGGGCATTCGGTGCAGCTCCCCATGAGGCCACGAAGCGTCGTACTGGGTGGGGGGGACGCATGCGAACAGCGCCATTGGGGCCTCCGTTGGTGCTCATATGGGGCCACGAAGCGCTGCTCTGGGCGGGGGTGACGCATGCGGCTGCGTCCACTGGGACCTCCCGTTGAGCTCCTTATGGGGCCACGATCGAGCTCCCTATGGGGCCACGAAGCGCTGTGCTGGGTGGGGTGTGACGCATGCGGGCGGTGCCACTGGGGCATTCGGGCGATAGGCTTGAAGGGTACCCAAACCTATCCTTAGGGATGTGGCGTTCATCGGCGAAGTACTAGAGACTGTGGAGCGGCTTGCGAAAAATCCGTGGTGCACAAACACAACTATTGGACGACAACTGGCCACATCCGTCACGTAAGTGGGATGACCGAAACCCAACATGCCAGGGGCCGTAGAGGAACTGGTCCATGGGGAAGGTGCCACTGGCCGTGATGGAGCGAGCCCACGGGAGCGATGTCTACACGTCGGTCGGAAGAAGTAGGTACAAATAAATAGGATGGTTGGGTTCAGGCCCCCCCCAGAAAATAACGAAGCACAGCTAAAGCATGCCGATTCTTGAAGTAGGAAAGCGCTAGAAGTAGACTGCGATCTGGGGATCCAAAGCATCCTACTTTCAACGACCAGCGTGCAACCAAATGCCACAATTCGAGGCTTCGGCCATGCCTCCAAAGCCCTAGGGCTGACACTCACCAGCAGGCGTTCGCTCGAGATGGGCATTCCCGAGAGAAGGACACTCGTGGGAGGTCTTCGCTGGAACGACTAAAGGCGGCCAAGCCCGATAAGAGGGCCACTTCACCGGATCAAGCCAGGTTAACCCCAAGATTCAACAAAATGGAGCCGGATTAAACGGGAATCAGCAAGATTAAGCTGGATTAAGCCAGATAAGCCCGAATTGAGCTGGTCATCGACCGCGAATGTACTACTACTACTACTACTACTACTACTACTACTACTACTACTACTACTACGACTACTACTACGACTACTACTACTACTACTACTACTACTACTACTACTACTACTACTACTACTACTACTACTACTACTACTAACGACTACGACTACTACGACTACGACTACTACGACTACTACTACTACTACTACTACTACTACTACACTACTACTACTACTACTACTACTACTACTACTACTACTACTACTACTACTACTACTACTACTACTACTACTACTACTACTACTACTACTACTACCTACTACTACTACTACTACTACTACTACTACTACTACTACTACTACTACTACTACTACTACTACTACTACTACTACTACTACTACTACTACTACTACTACTACTACTACTACTACTACTACTACTACTACTACTACTACTACTACTAGGGGCCCGAACGACTCGCACCAGGACGAGGTGCCCGAACGCCTCACACCACGAGAGCCCGAACGACTCACACCAGGACGAGGGGCCCGAACGACTCACACCACGAAGAGCCCGAACGACTCACACCAGGAGGAGGGGCCCGAACGACTCACACCAGGACGAGGCGCCCGAACGACTCACACCACGAGGAGCCCGAACGACTCACACCACGACGGGGCCCCGAACGACTCACACCACGAGGAGCCCGAACGACTCACACCAGGAGGAGGGGCCCGAACGACTCACACCAGGACGAGGGGCCCGAACAACTCGCACCACGAGAAGCCCGAACGACTCACACCAGGACGAAGAGCCCGAACGACTCACACCACGAAGAGCACAACGACTCACACCAGGAAGAAGGGCCCGAAAGACTCACACCAGGACGAGAGGCCCGAACGACTCGAACCACGAGAAGCCCGAACGGCTCACACCTGGACGAGGGGCCCGAACGACTCACACAACGAGGAGCCCGAACGACTCACACCAGGAATAGGGTCCCGAAGGACTCACACAAGGACGACGGGGCCGAAGGACTCACACCACGAGGGCCCCCAACGACTCCCACCAGTCGTCGTCGTCGTCGTCGTCGTCGACGTCGTCGTCGTCGTCGTCGTCGTCGTCGCCGCCGCCGCCTCGTCGTCGTCGTCGTCGTCGACGTCGTCGTCGTCGTCGTCGTCGCGGTTGTGGTCGTCGTCGTCGTTGCGGTCGATATCGTCGTCGTCGTCGGGTGCGTCGTCGTTGTTCGGATCATCGCTGTGGTCGTCGTCTCCGCTAAGTCCCTCTTGCCTCCCACCGCTTTCTCTCCCTCCTCCTCCGCCTCGTCCTTCTCCCGATCCCCCCACAAGGAGGATGTACAAGGAGGCGGGAGGAAGGAGGAACAGGGGAGATATGCGGGGGCAAGCGGACACACGCCTGAAAAACACGACTGCCGGCATGCTTCGCAAGAGTTGCTGTTGTGAGATGGGCTGGTGGGGATACGCGAAGCGTAAAGAATTGAGCTGGTCATCGACCGCGAATCTACCAGCGCCGGTACAGAATTTAACCTCCCAGGAGTTGTTTCACAACGTCGACCCCCGTAGGTCTCGACCCATTCCCTGGGGCCTGAGTCGCTTGTTGACGGTCCCATGGCCCTGCGAGGGCCAAAGGCAGAAAACGACGAACAAAAACTCCCGTCCTGATTTTTCAGGACGCGAGGGGGTCTGCGGATGGACAGAGGGCACAAAAACAACGGCAAAGGAGGAACGGCCAGGAGGGGCGGACAAGCATCGACCGCACAGACACCTCCCAAGGTGGTCCCAAACCGGCCGCTGCTGGGCAGGCGGCTTTCTGTCTTCGAAGCACAGCGCCCGCGGCGGCGCGGACAGCGAGCCCTCTTCAAACTAACCAGTAACTGAGTCGGGGAGACGTAAGACCCGGGCACGGGGGACTCGGAAATCCCCGACGAGGTCGTCAAAAAAATGACGAGGCCGAGCCTGCATTTTGACGAGGCCTCCCGCTGCAGACATCCCACAAAACTCCTCCTCGTCAAAATCCGAGTCGCGGTCGTCAAAAAACGATGGCGAACCCGAGTCCTGGCAAACCCGGGTCTTACGCTCCCCCGACTGAGCATCGGACCCGTGCTTTCCGTACCCCTTTCGATGGCCCCGAGGAGCGGGCGGCCGCCGGCTCTCCGTAGATGGTGGCGCGCAGGGCCGGCTCCATCTCCGCCTCGGACTCCTGCGGGCCCGGCGGCGGCGGCGGCGGCGACCGGGCGGCGCGAAAAGTTGCACGGTGCTGGCGACGGCGGCGACTCTCAGATCCTGGCGTCGCAACGTTTTCACAACGGACGTCTTCGCCCAATGAAGGGGGCCTGGAGCCCTTACGAGCCGATCCGGCTCAACAAATGGCGCAGAGAGGCCGTCTGCTGGGGCTCCGGGCGAGAAGTCTCGCCATGCTGTAGCTGTTTCGCAAAGTCGGATCTCAGGGACGGCGCCGGCGCCGGCGGCGAGGGCAAGGGCGAGGCAGAGGGCAAGGGGCGACTGCGCGGTGCCTCGGGGGGCAAGCCGTGCGGCCGGGGGTGAGAGGCGTCGGGGGATCGGCCCCTGGGGACATGGCATGAAGCCCGGGGGGGAAAGCTTCCGGGTCTTTTTGGGCTGGTCCACGGAATGATCCGAGGACCCGCAGCCAGGCCATGAATCGGGGATCTTCTGACCCGGGTCAACCCAGACCCGGCTCAGTCAGGACATGCAGGATCCTGCAAGATCCTGCACCCAAACCTGGGTCAAGGCGAAAGATCCTGCAACAAACCCGGGTCAGTGCGACCCTGGCCCTGCAGGATGCTGCCAGGTCGGGCGCTCTGGCTGACCCCCCTTTGCACTGAACCCCGCCTCAAGGCCGCTGCTGCGGCGCGCCAGCGTGGAAAACGGGGGCATCTGTGTGCGACCTTGCGCGGGCAGTCCAGGGCAGCGTTCCTGTCGTGACGAACCTGACACTGATTTCTGCCACCGCGTGGATCGTTCAACCTTGAACGATCGGTGAACTTCCGATGGCGAGATCGTTTCATACTGGCCGATCTGGGCCACCGGCGCGTTCAACCTCGAACGCCCGCAGCGGGCTTGCAGCCGCGTCGACACGACACGAACCTACCGTACGCACGACCGTCCACGCGATCGACCCCATATCTCCACTTTTCTCAGACGGGGGGGGCTGGTCTTCCAGACTGGCTCTGGGGGCGGCTGGTGTGCGCGCGCGCTGAGGGCCACCCTTCTATGGCAGCTCATAGGAGCCTCCAATATACCATCTTGTCGGCTCTTGCGAACCGACGCTGAATCGACACGAATCGACGCGCTAACCGACGCAAAGTCGGGCAACCCCATCGTCTCCCAGACGCTAGTCGACGCTCCCCATCGACTCCCAGACGCCAGTCGACGCCAAAGACAAGATTAGAAGGGCACACCAGGCCCCCATGGCCTTGCTACCGAACCAACCGTGCGAACGGCCCATGGCTCGCAGGATCCTGCACCCAAACCTGGGTGAATGCGACCCTGGCCCTGCAGGATCCTGCCAAATCGGGCGCTCAGGCTGACCCCCGTTTGCATTGACCCCCGTCTCTAGAAGAAGAACAAAAACACACAAACATGAACTTTTGGCGCTCCGCGTGGATTTCTTGGATTCGCGCTCGCGGAGCGCGCCAGGGGCGGCGCCAGAGGCGCCGGCGGGGGGCCCGAGCGTGGCTCCAAGAAATCCGCGCGGAGCGCCAAAAGCTTCTGTCTGTGTGGTCTTTTCTTCTTCGAGTCTCAAAGCTCCCGAAGACATCGGGGATCTCCTGACCAGGGTCAATCAGACCCGGGTCAGTCGGGCCTTGCAAGATCTTGCAGGACCCTGCAAGATCCTGTACCCAAACCCGGGTCAACGCGAAGGATCCTGCAAGATCCTGCAGAATCCTGCTCCCAAACCCGGGTCAACGCGACCCTGGTCCTGCAGATCCTGCAAGATCGGGCGCTCTGGCTGACCCCCGTTTGCATTGACCTCCGTCTCTAGAAGAAGAAAAAACCACACAAACCTAAACTGACCACCGTGGGGGCAGGGGTAGGGCTCGCACGTGGCCCCTTACAAGAGTTTCTGTCTGTGTTTTTTTTTCTCCTTCGAGTCTCAGAGCTCCCGAAGACAGCGACGCCCTCCCGCCCGGCCCTCCATCCCGGCCCGCGCGGGGACGCGGCCCCCGCCGCGGCGACGGGAGGCCTCCAGGGGAGGCCCGGAGGAGGCGGAGGCGCGCCGGGGAGGGCCTCCGGCTGCCGCGACGGGCCCCGCGCCGCGCGGCCGAGCGCGGCAGAACGGAAGGGGCCCCAGGACGCACAGATAGATACACACAAAGAAAAGGATTCCCCATATGTTCCCGCATTTTCTGGGTGTTCGTCTTCCCCCCCACGGCCCACACTTTCCCATGTTTACCGGGGAGTCGACGATTCATTGTGTCCGTGTGTTTTTTCCCCTCCTGAAAAACGGAAGATGATGGCACGCCGGTCGGAAGAGGTGGGCAGGAGCATGAGGTGGGAAGGCGGATAAGGGCAGCGTGGGTGCGGGACCCGCCCAAGGCAGCATCGAGCAACAGTTCAAGCCATGCCGACTCTTGAAGCAGGAGGGCGCTTGAAGCAGGCTGGGTTCTGATGACCCAGAACTGCCTACTCTCAACGACCGATGGCCACGGCTGTCGACGCACAAAGGCTCCACCCGGCATCGGGCCGCGGCACCTCTGCCGCCGCAGGCACGATGGGGGCTCGGCCCCGGCAGACCTCCCGAGCGCCGTCGCCGGGGGGCGAGGCAGCTCCCCGCGGGGGCGGAGGCCCGCCGTGACCAACCGCCTGGGCACAGAGAGAATGCAAATCCGCTTAGACGCGCTGAGTCCTCACTGATGGACCCATTTTCCACCACCACTACCATAGGTAGGAGAGGGAGGAGGAGGAGGAGGAGGAGGAGGAGGAGGAGGAGGACCTCCTCATCCTCTCTTCTCCCAAGTCCTGCATATGGTAGTGGTGGTGGAAAATTTGCCCATCACTCACAGCTCCCCTTACCGCCCGTGTCCCCCCTCACTCTTCGGGTAATTATGGTCGCCAGCTTTGTCGAAACACGTCCAGCAGAGCGTGCGTCATAAAGAAGTAGCCCTTCGCCGGAGGCCTGAGGCCCCGTGCAGGAAGTCAGAGCGAACAGCAGCATGCCAGGAAATCCCACACACGAAGGAAAGAAGGATATCCCTCCAAACCTGGGGTTGTTCTTGACCCTCGTGCCAGCCGTGCTCTCTCGCGTGAGCGCACTGGCGCCGCATGCTCTCCGCCCGCTCCCTCCCTGAAGTGAACTTGCCTTCCCCTTGCTTGCACCGTCCTGTGAGACCCCGAAGCGGGGGGGGGCATCATGGCCGGGCACGTGTGCGCGGACGTGGGGGGGCCAAGGGCCGCGTTGAACGAAGAGGGGGCCATGAAATCTCGATTACAGTGGGGGCCGATCCACAAAAAACCCAACCCTGAGATCCCAGCACGTTCATTGGTCTTTGGCGTGGGAACGTCACGCTTTCCATCGCAGAACCATCAAAACCCAAGAAACCCAGGGCACCCTGGAGGCAAGTTGGGTGTTTCTTGGCATGGGTCTCCACTGTATAGCATGGCTCCAGCCATGATATCCACACCCCTAGTCATCACCCCCTCTTGGCCCCTTGGATTGGCACGCCCGCAACGGGTGTGGAAAAACTGGGCGCGATGGCCCACAGCAAACGTTGCCCAAAACCGAAAGCGGCCGCTGTTGGGCAGGCGAGTCTGTCTCAAATTGACAACTCCCGCGGCGAACTCGTTTCAAAATGGAAAGAAACTGCTGCTTGTCCACGTTCCTTCCGTGCCCCACTGCGGCCGTTCCGAATGGACGCCCCTGGGACTGTGCCATCCCCGGCCTGCTGCGTCCTGCCGGCCCTGCCGCGCGAACGGAGGATTCGGGGACGGCATGCGACCTCGACCACACCGAGGACGAGCCCTGGGGGATGTTTGGCGCATGCCAAGAATCGTCAGAACGCCAGAACCAGCTTAGCACCAGTCGTGGTCGATGTGGGCGTCCCAGACGGCCAGATCGACCACAGACACAACCGACGTGCTCACGTCGAGGTCGGTGAGTTCTCCCCCGAGGGGCCGTCCAGAAAACTCCACTCCGTTCTGCATGTGGTCCTTTGTTGTGCCTGGACGATAGAGGCCTCCTAGATGGGGTCCGAGTGGATGGCGGCATAGGATCGCGCCGCATCGCCGACGTCGGCGATGCACCAGCGACGTCGACGCGAAGCAAATCGGGCTGCACATCGAGCCGCATCAGCGATGCGTCGGCGATGCAGCGCGATCCTGCGACCCCATCTACTCCGACCCCACCTGGGAGGCCTGGAGACGAGCGGAGGAGAGGCCGGCGTGGCTCCGAGAGCGGCAGGATCATCCCGGCGCCGCCCACCTTGCAGATCGGGACCGAGGCCTGGAGCCGGCCGGGGGGGGCCAGGAGCGGAGGAGAGGCACAGCGAGGGCCCCGACCGAAGCAGGCTCCTGCCACGGCGCAGCCGGCCCTGGTTCCTGGCTTAGCCAGCCACGAACTCGTCGCTACCCCTGAGAAGGATGAGCCCTCATGCGATGACAGTCCTGGGGGATGAGCCCTCAGAACCTGAGAGGAGTCCTGAAGATCGGCACGCAAAAAAATTGGGCGACACCAATGATAGGGGCAGGGATCTGTTCCAGGCTGGTGTCATGGTTTCCGGCACCGCGTGAGCCGCCCAACCTTCAACAACCCCCGATGCCGCGGGTCACACACCAAACGCCTTCGCGGGAACTTCAGCTTTGGGGGCCCGCGCCCGCGACGCCGTGACGCCGAGGCAGCTCGAGCCTGCCGCGAAAGCTCCGTCGTGGCCAGTCCCGCGTCGCAGACCTCCGACGTCGCGACTCGGCTCACTACGCTGGTCCCTGGAACTCTCTGTGCAACTCAGGGCCTGCCGACGCTGATCGACGCTCGATCGACGCTGATCGACGCTCGATCGACGCTCGATCGACGCTGATCGACGCTCGATCGACGCTGATCGACGCTGGCTCCTGGGAACCGACGCTGATCGACGCTCGATCGACGCTGACCGACACCGAGTCGGCGCCTTCTCAGCGATCACCAGATGCTGGCGCGCGCGAACGCACTCTGGAGACCGACTCTCGAGGACGTGCAGGGCTCGCATGAGCTGCGACCTCTGCCTCGGGCCACGCTGGCGTTGCTCCTGGGTGCCCGAGCACGGCTGCCGGAGGCAGAGAAAAAACACGTGCGCCGCGCGTGCCTTCCGCACCGCCTGCAGGGCCTGGGCCCCCCCTCGTGCCTCCCCGCTCCCGGGGCCTCCCTCGCCACCTTCCGCGGAGGCCTCGGGAGCGCGGAGCCTCCACCTCTGGCGGGCTTCGGGAGGTCGAGCGGAGCGTCCGTGCCGGAGCCCGTTGGGGGGCATCTCGAGGCCCTGGGAGGCGGGCACACAGTGGCGAGTTCACCGTGCGAGCGTCCAAGACGGCCCAACAGGCCCGCAGGGTCGTCCCAGGACGGGCCCCAGGCCAAGCCAAGAGAGGCCCCAAAGGCCTCCGAGCCCGCTCCAAGAAGGGCCCACAAGAGGGAACTCGAACTGACATGTGGAGCCCTCGGAAGGAGGAGGAAAGGAAGGAGAAGGAGGATGGGGAAGGAGGAAGAGGAGGAAGAGGAGGCCGCGGAAAAGCGAGCAAACCAGAAGCCAGGAGGCAGAAGGGCCTGGTCCGCCGGACGGGCGGAAGCGCTCACAGACCACCTAATTACCCCTAGGGCCAAGCCCTTGGAGGGCGGGGCTGACAGCCGTCCGAGAGGAGGACGAGGAGGAAGAGTTCAGTTCAGCTCTCAATTCGGGGATGGACAGACCCCCCTTTAGTAAAACGTGGTTTAGTGAAAACGACCTGAAGCCCAAACCTGGCGGGCGCAAGCCTGGAAAATAACGGCCGCGGCGCCCTCTCGAGAACCGAAAACGGACAATTCACTAATCGACGTGTCACTGTTGGGGGTTCTGTCCACCCCCGACATCTAGGGAGCTCGGGCTGGTGCACGTTTCACTTTGCTGCGCCTCCCGTTTCGTCAGATCGCCCTTCGGCAACCGTGCTGCCACCCACCGCACCCGGCACTGGAAGAGAAGACGCAGGGGGAAGAGGAGGAAGGCGGAAGGAGATGGAAGAAGGAGGAAGAAGCAGGCTGGGGAAGGGGAGGAGGAGGAGGAGGAGGAGGAGGAGGAGGAGGAGGAGGAGGAGGAGGAGGAGGAGGAGGAGGAGGGGGAGGAGGAGGAGGAAGAGGACGAGGAGGCAGCGGAGGCGCAGGGCTACGCGGGACGGAGGACGCGGACGAGCAGGCCCCTCCGGGGGCGAGGCCGCCGCCGCGGCCCCGCGCCCCGGCCCACTGCCGCCGCCCAGTGGCACCGGGTAGGGGGGGGGGCGCTCCTCCTCCTCCTCCTCCTCCTCCTCCTCCTCCTCCTCCTCCTCCTCCTCCTTTTCCTGCCACCGCTGCCATCGACGACGACGACGACGACGACGACGACGACGACGACGACGACGACGACGACGACGACAACGATGTCCTTTCCCCGTGCATGTGTCGGTCTCGTGCGGGTCGTGTGCTTACCTGTGTTGCGGCGTGATCCTGGATGCTCCTCGAGGGCCCCCGCTGGAAGAGAGGGACAGAAGAGAGGGACAGAAAAGCGGAGACCACGCGCACGATCCGCCCGCGCTCCAACAGAGACTCGCGTCGCACCTTGCCGGTGGGGAATGCCAGGGCGATTCTAGAGCTCCGCCGGGGTATGTGGTGGGACGGACCTGCAGCAATTCCATTTCGGTATCTTGGCGAATTGGGGTGGAGTTTTTAAAACATTATTTTTTGAGCATCGGAGCATCGCTGAGGGGACGCAGTGTCCCGCTGGCTACCTCTGGAAGGGGGCGCCTTCTGATTGTCAGGGCCGCTCCCTCCGTTAACAGGGGCCTCCTGACTGCAGGACCTTGCCTGCCTTGGCCACCGCTTGTGAGCTTGGCCCCCACTTGTGGGGGGCCGCGCAGTGGGAAATGAACCCTTGCGAGTTGTGGACCCGCAGCGTTCGGGCAAGAGCAATTCGTGCAAGCGCTACGTAAGGAAATCATTCAACCTGCATCTCCGCGGTTGCATGAAGGAAGAATTCGGGCACGTCTACCACTTTCTGCACACGGATTCCTTGAAACTGCTTCTTCGCTGTTGTAAGAAACAAGCGGGCACATCGATCACGCTCTGCGCGGGATGCAGAACTCTCGCTAGTCTTTCCACTTCTCAGTCCCTTGTCCACGACTGGCTCAAGCAGCCGCGGATGGCGCCGGGAGGTCTGAGTATGAGCCGAGCAGGGTGGGCATCACGAAGGCCATGTACAGGCCGCCGAGGACGACGGCCAGGAGGTTCAGGACGAGCCCGTACTTCGCCATTTCGGCCACGGAAACCTTTCCAGTCGAATAGACCACCATGTTTGGGCCACCAGCCATCGGCAGCATGAAGGCGAAGGAGGAGGCGAACGTCACGACGAGGAGGAACTGCGCGGGATTGTATCCCTTGAGCTGGGCTGTTGCCGCGATGATCGAGCCAAAAATCGACAGGGTAGCCATGTTGGACACCACCTCGGTGACGAAGCAGATGACCGAGGCCACCATCAGCAGAAAGGCCGTCTCGCCGGTCTGGACCGCGCCCAGGTTCTCGGCGACCCAGGCAGCAAGTCCGGACTGGACGGTGCCGTGTGCGATCGCCGCGCCTCCCCCGAAGACGAACAGGATCTCCCACTGGAAGCTGCCCTTCACCATGTCCCAGTCGAGGATGCGGCGGGCCCGCTGCTCCCCCTCCTGGGGAGGCGCTCGGGAGAGGCAGCGATCCTCCCCGACGAGCCGGCGCCAAGACGCCGGCAGCCGCGAGCCGCAGGGCAGCAAGAACAGAGGCAGTGTCAGTGCGAGACCTATGGAGCCGCTGTTGAGCTCGCTGGCGACGTACTGCTTCCAACCAGGGAAGCTGCCGATGGGAGAGGCGGTGAACCAAAGCACGATGAGGACCAGGAGGTCCGCTGCCACCACCATCTGATCGAAGGTCACTTTGCCGAGCTCCTTCTGCATGCTGCGGAACACCTCCCGGTCTATGGGGATGCGCTCCTTTGCACCCCACACGAATACGGCGCAGAAGCCGATCCAGACGATCGTCAGCAACACGAAAGAGAGGGGGAGCGCGCAGAGGAAAAACTTCGCGAAGGAGAACTCGCCCTCCGAAGGCCAGAAGATCTCGAACTGTTCCATGAAGATACCATTGGTGGGGGTTCCCACAGGGGTGGCGATGCCGCCGATGGTCGCGCTGTAGCCCATTGCCAGCAAGAACGCGCCCTGAAATGCCTCGTGACCCGCAGGCATGGTGTCCAGGAACCCCCGTGCCACTGGGAGCATGCAGAGGATCGTCGCTGTGTTTGAAATCCACATGCTCAATAACCACACGCTAACCATAAAACCTGCAATCAAAAACTCGATCCGCGATCCGGCTCGACTCACGATGCAGCAGGCGAAGTGCGAGTGAAGGCCCCAGCGCTCGATGGCCAGACCGATGAAGAAGCCAGCCACGAAGAGGAACGACGTGCCACTGAAATAGCGGCTTGCGAGCTCGCTCATCTTCACGACCCCGAGCAGCGGGTACATGACCAGGGGCAGGAGGCTGGAGATGGTCAGAGGAACGATCTCCGTAAACCACCAGAGGGCCGTGATCAGGAGCACGGCCGCGGCCTTCGAGGCGTCGGGCCTGTCCGGGTCCAGGTCGATGGACAGGAACAGCGCCAGGAGGAGCGCCGAGAGCACCAGGACGCCGGCCTCGAAGCGCGCCGACCTCTCGGGCCGCGTGCCGCCCTTCTCGGCGGCGTCGCAGGCGCTGGAGGTGGCGTCGGAGCTGCTGCCAGCCCGCGGCTCCTGGGCGGCGACTGCGGCGACGGGGCTGGGACAGCACTGCGCCTGCGCCTCTGCGTCGAACTCCATGCTGCGGCCAGCATCGGCCGCCCGAGGCGACGTCACGTTCAGAAGCGTGGGGGTCTCCATGACGCAGCGCTTCCAGCGGCCGGTGCCCACAGGAGGTGCGGCCAGATTCGAGCACGACGAGCCCCTCGGCCGACGCGCGGGGCCACGCCCGCTGCTTGGGCCAACTTGAGTCAAAATGGCTGCGGACGAAGTGGGGGGGGGAGTCTTGGAAGCTCATTCAACATTTCTTGCGCTTCTCTGGATCCGCCCGAGGGCCAGAGGAGCTGAACAAAGAAGAGATGAGGTGTGCTCGAGTCTGGCTCTGTAATACACGCCACCAGGGCCACACCATGGTGCAACTGGGCCAAGCCACGATGCAACGAAGGCCAGATAACCCTTCTGGGTCGCACAAGCAGGGCCTGAAAGTTCGATGCCTTTGGCTTCTCGGGGGCATACATAACCGAAGAACTTCCCAGCCACCTCCAGCCGTCTCTGGACCGTCTTAGAGTCTCTCGGATGCATGCTTGAGTTGCGGTCTGGAAGATTTGTAAGCCAGTTCGGAACCGTCTTGGGGGCCCCTGGGACCTCTTGGAAGTCCCTTGGGCCCGTTTGGAGCCCAGTTTGGCGGCAGTTATTTTTGTTCGAGCTGGGATACATCCAAAGCTGCAATGTTGGCCGATCGTGAAAGCATCGTCGTCAGAGCGCTCGTGTTGCCCATTCCCTAAACAGCGCTAGTCCTTCACGTCACAGCCTCCAGGGCGCTCGTTCGGCCTCGCCGACTGCGGCTGGAGGTCGCAGGCAAGGCTGAGCGACGCCACGAGGAGAAGAAGAAGAAGAAGAAGAAGAAGAAGAAGAAAGGTGCTGCGACGTGGACTTCCAAGCGTGCGTCCTGGCATCTCGAGGCTCTCGCGTGCGCCGCACAGCGCAGGTCGCACCACGCGCCGCAGAACCCCGGACACCCCTGGCAGCGCCGGGCGCGTCGACCCGCCGCGCTGCCTCCGCCGGGCAGGCCAGCAGAGCGGGGGATCGCCGTGGAGGCGCGCCCCTCCCCCCGCCCCGGAGGCGGCCCTGGGCGGCCGCCTCGGCGGGCCACACTGGGCTTCAGGTCCAGGTCGGGCATGCCCCCCTACAGGCGGATGTTGGACAAAACAAAAAAAAAAAACGAATGCGCCAACGGTGCAGCAAAAATACTCGAAGATGGTCGAACCATCGTCCCCAGACTAATTCTTGACTTCTCTCGAACATTCCTCCCGTAGAGGGACAGGCCCGACTTCACCCCAGCCCCCGAGGCGGCTCTGGCCGGCCGCCTTGGAGGGCCACTGCGGGCCGTGGCTCGGGGGATGGAGCCGCGCCTCTGGGGGCGGCCGCCTCGCTCGCGCAGAGCTCGTGCTGTTCTCTGGGCCTCGCCGGGAGGCGGCGTCAGCGAGGGCTGCCAGCGCCGATGCGAGGCGTCCGCATGGACCTGCGAGCTGTCGTTCCCTCGCGCCTGGGGTTCCGCGATGGAGAGGCGCGATGATGGGGGCACCGATGATGAGCAAGACAAGTACCCCTGACCCTGTAGGAGGGGACCCACGTTGGGAGGGCCGAGAACATGAGGGACAGGGGGTCTTTGCTGCAGACGTATCGGACCAAGCCGCCCAGATCTATGATCTACAATGCGAAGACGGGGGCCTCAGTGAGGCCACGTCTCCACAATGCGCTGTTGGGGCTAGGGTTAGGTCGGGCGTGCCCTCCTACAGGCGCATTTGGGAGGAACAACAAAAAACAAGCAGTACTCCAAAATCAGAAAACAAAAAAAACAAAAAACGTCCCCGGACGATGTTTACAGCTTTTGATATATCTTTACTATTCTGAACTATTCCCCCTGTAGAGGGACAGGCCCGACGTAGTTCGGGAATCACCTGACCTGGGTCAACCCAGACCCGGGTCAGCCAGGGCTTGCAGAATCCTGCAACATCCTGCAAAACCCTGCACCCAAACCCGGGTCAATGCGAAGGATCGTGCAAGATCCTGCAGGATCCTGCACCCAAACCCGGGTCAATGGGAGCCTGGCCCTGCAGGATCCTGCAAGATCTGGCGCTCTGGCTGACCCCCGTTTGCATTGACCCCCGTCTCTTAGGCCCCGAGTAGTGAGGTTCGGGGCTGCCCGGCCCCCCTCCGAGCCGACGGGCGACGGGCGCGGGGCCCGACCGCGCCGCGCGCCGGCTCGCCCTCGGGAGGGCGTCCCGCGGGGCGGCCCCCAAGGGCGGCACGGATGGGGCCTCCCTTCGGGTCGGGCGTGCCCTCCTATCGGGTCGGGCGAAAGGGGGGGATAGCAAAGGGGGGGGGGGGAGAATCAGCTCACGTAGCTGATTTTCCCGGCGCCTCCCGGCGCCAGAAGGCGCGCATGTATCGAGGAATGGGCCCCTCGGTGGGGCCGAAACCAGCTGCATGCAGCAAATTTCGTAACCCCCCCTTTCCCAATCCCCCCCTTTCGCCCGGCCCGACCCAAGGGCGGCACGGATGGGGCCTCCCTTCGAGTCGGGCGTGCCCTCCTACGGGCGGATTCTGGACGAACAAATCGCGGATCCGGCGTGTGAGTTTCTGAGAGCGTGGACTCGAGCTCGCTCAAGCTTCGCTCTGCAGGGGGGGGGCGTCGGTTATTTCCGACGCCATTTCCGACGTTTTTCGGTACACGGGGATATTTCCGACGTCATTTCCGACGTTTTTCGGTACCCGGGGACAGGGGGGTATAGAAAACTCCACTTCCGGAGCCCCCCAGGATCGGCGGCACTGGCCGGAGGCCAGCCCAATAAACAATAGCCAAAGATTCTCCCAGATGGTCAGACAGAGCCGGAAACTCGTCCCCAGACGATGCTCGGACTGTACTTCTGGATCTTCCTCCCCTGAGAAGGACGTGCCCGACTTCAGCCTCCAATCGCCAAAAATGTTCCCTAATGGTCAGACATAGAATCGGAAAATCGTCCCCAGCCTATGCTTTGACTGCGCTTCTGGATCTTCCTCCTCCGAGAAGGACGTTCCCGACCTACGCCTCCCTGCGGCCCGCGGGGGGGGGCCACGGGCGCGCGAACTCCCCACATTCCCCCCCCTTCCGTCGTCCTCCCTGTCGTGAATCAAGAAGGCCCAAGGACTTACCAGCCTCGAACGTATCCCTATCCCTAAGATTGACACGTCAAAGGGCGATGACAATCTTAGGGATCCGCCCTCCAAAAACAAGGGAACCCTGAGATTGGCATCGTGATGAGGAGATGCCCAGCACAGGGACAGGGATATGCTCCAGGCTGGTAATAAGAAGGGCCCAAGGACGCACAGACACAAACAGACACGAGTCCCAAAATTCGCCGCCTTCTCGATACAGCTTCTGGGGGTCTCCGTCTTCCCCCCCCCTTCCTGGATTTTCCCACACCTTCCTGGGAGTCGACGAGTCATTCTGTCTGTATGCTTTTTCCCCTCCTGACTCTTTCCTCCATCGTCCTCCTTCCCCCCCTTCCCCCTCCCAGTCGAGGGGCCGCGGTGTATCCCAGCCGGCTGGCCGCTATGAGCTCAGGCACCGCCCGCCTCTGGGCCCCGTTTGCCCTCTCGGCGGCGCAAGTGGCACGTGGCGCCATCATGCTGCGGCCCGCTGGGAGCCCGAAGGTCCAGAACGCAGACCGATTCACGGAGCTCTGCCCGTATGGGCAGGGCGACTGGGGCCGACAGCCCCTGAAAACCCTGCAGGGCTCAGACATCGGGCACCGGACCACGGCCCAGAAGGGTTCCTAGAACGCCTGGGGAGCGCCTGGAGCAACTTGTTCGAAGGGGCCCTGGGACACACAACTAAATAGACACAAAAAACAGGATTCATCATATTTTCCAATATTTCCTGGGTGGTCGTCTCCCCCCCCACTTCCCACATGTTCCCACATCTCCGGGAGAATCGACGATGAACTGTGTCTGTGCTTTTGCTCCCCTCCTGATTGTTACGCCCCCTGCCTTTCCCTCTTGCTGCCATAAGAGACACGAGCCCGAGACCTCCTTCCCCCCCAGGCGCCCCATGTCCGGGATGGACAGACCTCCCTTTCGTAAAACGTGGTTTAGTGAAAACGACCTGAGGCCCAAATCTGGCGGGCGCAAGCCTGGAAAAAAATAACGGCCACGGCGCCCTCCCGAAAACCGAAAACGGACAATTCACTAATCGACGTGTCACTGTTGGGGGTTCTGTCCACCCCCGACATCTGGGGAGCTCGGGCTGGTGCACGTTTCACTTTGCTGCGCCTCCCGTTTCGTCAGATCGCCCTTCGGCAACCGTGCTGCCACCCACCGCACCCGGCACTGGAAGAGAAGACGCAGGGGGAAGAGGAGGAAGGCGGAAGGAGATGGAAGAAGGAGGAAGAAGCAGGCAGGGGAAGGGGAGGAGGAGGAGGAGGAGGAGGAGGTCGACGTACCACTGTTGGGGGTTCTGTCCACCCCCGACCATGCTGGGAGCCGGCCCGCGGACCCCGCCCCGATGTTTTTGTTTTGTTGCTCGAGCTGCGCCTGGAGTAGCCGCGGCGGCGAGGGGGCCCCGGGCAGCCCGGGGAGGGGCAGCAGAGAGCCACGGTCTGGCCACCGACCAGACCACCCCAACCCAACCCGAGGACCCGACTTTCGGGTTGGGGGGGGGGATATGGGCTCCGTGCGTGTTTTTTTTCGAGGTTCCGCGAACCCCCCCCCCACCGGAAACGGAGGGCAAATGGAGGCCTTCGGGTTGGGTTGGGGTGGTTCGGTGGGTGGTGACGGCCCAGTCTCGCTCGGTTCCGCCTGGCGGCGAGCGGTGGGGGGAAGCGAGAAGGAGCGGGCATTCACGGAAGACTCGGAAGTCCCCACGAGAAGTGTCATGAGCCTGCCCCGAAGGCGCACGGAGGACTTCTCGGGAGGCGTGGGGACTTCCGAGGAAGTCCCGCCGCCTCTCCGAGAAGGCCTTCGCCGTCCCGCTCTCCCTGCCTCGCCCGCCTCCGCCCTGCCCCATCTCTCCCTTCCCTCGGCCGCAGGCATCCCGCACGGCCGCCCCGCCCCCCGTCGCGGCGCCCGTCCCCCACCGTCGCCGCACTCTGGCCCCCTGTCAACGCCTCCTCGGAGGGGGGCGGCCTGGCACGCATCGGGGACAAGGAGGTCCGTGATGTTCTCCGCCATGTGTGCAGCCTCTGGGCGGCGCGCGGGCGAGCAGGCGGAGGGGCCTTGGACACGACGGGGGTCCGGTGGCAGCTCCTGAGAGGCATTCGTGGGCACACCCGGGGGCTACTGGGGAGGACTGGCGAGCTACTGCGCCACACTCAGTAGCCACTGAGCTGGGTTGGGCCAGATCGAATCCTACAAGTCAATGCTGAGCAGGACATGGCCAGACCAAGACGGACTGCTACTGAGACTGCCGAGGCAGCGCCAGTGGCCTCGACTGATGCCACATCCCAGGAGTTGCAACCTCAAGTGCGGAGGGAGAACGAAACGACAGTGCACTGAAAGAAAGCACAGGGGAAGGCAGCGGGCGGCGGAAACGGACGTGGAGGCGGAGAGAAGAAAGGGCGGGAGCGAAGGAATATGAGAGAGAATACAGAGCGAGGACGTACAGATGTTAGCTAGCGTGGACCCCGAACCGTGCATCACTGCGTCTGTAGAGGTGACATATGTCTATGTAACCTGTTTGGTGACAGTTATGCCGCGTAAACTATGTAGTTTGAGCTACGGGGGTAAAAAATATGCGGCGCAAACTATATGGTGTCAGATATGCCGTGCAAGCTGTGCGGTATGAGCTGGAGGTGGAAACTGCGGGGTGTGAGCTGTGTGGTGGAGACGTTCTCGCGTGAGCTATGCGATGGGGTACACGCTATGTGCTGCAGCCAAAGATGTGTGACGCACACGGTGTAGGCCATGTAGCGTTTCGGGGATGGACATGCCCCCCTTTAGCCAAACGTGGTTTAGTGAACACGACCTGAGGCCCAAACCCGGATGGCGCACACCTGGAACACGACGGCCACGGCGCCCTCCCGAGAACAGAGAACGGGCAGTTCACGAATCGACGTGTCATCGCCAAATGTTGGGGGCTCTGCCCGGCCCCGAGCGCTGCTGGGTGCAGGCTCTGTGACGTGAGCTGCGTGGCGGCACCTCGGCACGCCCTCCTCGGCGCGGGGCGCCCACGGGGTGCCCGCGGGCGAGCACCGGCCGAGACCGCGCCAGCCCCCTCCGAGCGCGGCACGCCCACGGAGCGGCCACCCGGCGCGCGAGGCCGGGCCGTGCCCGTCCATACATCCTGGCATAACTAGGGGAACGAAGAGTGACATAAACATAAAAACTCGGAGGTCCGCGCGGACTTCTCGGATCGGCGCTGGACCCCCCTCCATGGCGCGCGGAGCGCGCCAGGGGCGGCGCCGGAGGCGCCGCCTGGGGGCCCCAGCGCCGATCCAAGAAATCCGCGCGGACCTCCGAGTTTTTATGCTTATTCGCTGGTCCAACGGGCCAGGGCGTGCTAAGATCTCCGGTACCTGGTTAACAATATTTCTAGTTCGCGCGCGCGGGGCGGCCCCTGGGGGTCCCCGGACGAAAAGTACCCCGGCAAGGTCCCGGCAAGTCCCCGGCAAGTCCCCGGCAAGGTCAGGTCAGAGATGCCGGAGTTCTGTTACAGGGCCCCAGGACGGGCCAAGAGGTCCCCAAGAAGCCTCCAAGACGGTCCAAGAGGGCCCCGAGACGGCCAAAGATCGCCCGAAGACGCCCAACAGGGCCCCAAGACAGCCCAAGAGGCCTCCAAGACGCCCCAAGGGCCTTCCAAGAGGCCTCCGAAGAGGGCCCCAAGAGGCCAAAATCGTTGATTTTCATTGTTTTTTCTATGTTTTTTGCGTTCTGGCTTTTTCGGCTTCCGGACGCTCCAAGACGGCCCAAGAGGCCCCCAAGACCGCTCCAAGACGGCCCACGAGGCTCCCAAGACGGCCCCGGAACGGCCCAGGAGGGCCCCCAAGACGGCCCAAGTGCCGCCCAAGACGGACCAAGAGGCCCCAAGACGGGCCCAAGAGGGGCTCAAGAGGGGAACCGAGAACTGAAAAATCGAGCCCTCCGCCCCAGAAGGAGGCCCCAAAAAGGCCCCAAGAGGCCCCCAAGAGGCCCCCAAGACGCCCCAAGAGGCGCCCAAGAGGCCCAAAAGAGGCCCCAAGAGGCCCCAAAACAGCCCCCAAGAGGCCCCAAAACTCGGCTAGCCCACAACGGTGCGACAATATGGGCCGGCGGAATGAGCGAAGCGATTAAATGTCATTTTTGTTGTTCCCCTATAACCCGAATGAGAAGCAGTATATGCAAGCACCTGGAAGCGAGATCGTATGTGCACAAAAGGACAGGCAGATACACACATCAGATGTATGTGGATGCAGACACACACACACACACCTATCTCGTGAACATGCGCACATAAGACACGCGACCGAACGAGGTCCAAACATGAATAAAGACATGGAGGAGCCAGAAAGAGAGAGAGAGAGAGGGAGATTGTTAGCCTGGCGAAGGACCCAACCATTTGCAGTTGCGGGTAGCGTCGTTGTATCTCTGTCGGTGGATCTCCTTCCTCCTTACGGACGGAAAATCATTATTTCTCCGCGGCACCGACACCGCGAAACAACGATGACGACGATGACCACGACTACGAGTACGACTACGATTGCAACTACAACCACGACTACGTGACGACTGCAATAGCAACTACAACCACGATTCGAAACGAGACTACAATCACTACTAGAATCAGTTCCACAACCACAACCACTGACTCCTATTGCAACCCTCATGAGAAGATGCTCACAAATTCCCTCGTGTAGGGCAGCCACCCTGTACTGCTCCCTGGGAGAAAGAAAAACCAAGCATTATCCAGCCGTCCAAAAACAGATGGAAACTAATATCCGCTACGACGACGACGACTGCGATTACGACTACGATTGCGACTACAACCACGACCACGATTGCAACTACAACAGCGACTACGATTACGACTGCAATCGCGATTACAATCATTATTCCAATCGCGATTACAGCCGCGACTACAATCATGATTACAACCACAATCGCTCATTCATAATGCAATGCTCGTGAGACAATGCTCACACATCCTCGTGCGTGCAGGTTGGCCCACCACAATGGACTATTCCCTGGATGAAAGAGACACCCAACAGTACCCAGCCTGCCCAACAATAAGGTGAAATACTTTACGCGGAGACGACGACCACGAACCCCGAACCACGACGACGAAGACGACGACGACGATTACGATGATGACAACGAGGAGGAGCAGGAGGACGAGGAGGAGGATCAGGGGGAGCAGGAGGAGCAGCTTTGGAGCAGTTTTTAGAGTGGGAGAGCACGGAGGAGAAGGAGGAGGAGGGGAAGAGAAGGGGGGGAGTTGGAGGAGGAGGAGCAGGAGGAGGAGGAGCAGGAGCAGGAGGAGGGTCAAGTTTGTTCCCCGCCGAGAGAAACAGGGGGGGACCCACAATTAAAGGCCCTCCTCGATTACCGAGAGGGGATCGAAGAACTGTATCTTACCGAAATTGATCTCGGAAAGTCGTGTGGGAAAGACTCTGCAAGCCCTTTCGGAACCTCCATTGGTTGTTATTAAAGTCCCTGTTTTCCCCTCGGTTTCCACTGTTCGCTCTCCCTTGACTCGATCAAAGCGTGTTTTTGTTTATATGTATCTATATATATATATATATATACGCAGAAGGTGGGCGTCAAGCAAGCAAGCACTGTGATCCCGCACCGTGCCCTCGAAGTACGAGCTGGAGTGTCCGCAGGTCCCTTGTTGGATCCCCTGGCAGCCTCAGTCCTCCATCCCGAAGACTCTCTGAGGGGCCTTTGAGGGGCCTGGACCCGACTCTGCGGAACCTGCTGGGGCCCGACGCGTCGCCCCTGGGGCTCCTGGCGTCGTCTTGCATGACTTGTAAAGGGGCCCCAGGACACACAAATAAATACACACAAATAAAAATAGTCCCCATATTTTCCCATATTTTCTGGGTTTTTGTCTTCCCCCCCAATTCCCATATTTTTCCATATTTTCCTGGGAATCGAGGATTAATTGTGTCTGTGTGTTTTTGTTTCCCTCCTGAGACTTGTTCGGGCCCAGGAAGCCCCCGGGGACGGACCAAGCGGGTCCCAAGAGGCGCCCAAGACGGTCCACGAGGGCCCCGAATCGCCGAACAGATCGATCCAAGGCCCCTAAGAGGCCTCCAAGAGGCCTCCCATGAGGACCCCGAGAGGCAAAATTCCGCGAAGGATTTGGGCGTTCTCGCCTTTTCGGCTGTCCGACGCTACAGGACGGCCCAAGATCGCCCCGAGACGGCCTAAGAGACCTCCGAAAGGGCACCAAAACGGCCCAAGAGGCGCCCAAGACGGCCAAAGGTGCCTCCAAGACGGCTCCAATAGGGGACCCCGACGGGGGACCCGAATGGACATTTCACGCCCTCAGCCCTGGGGCCCAGGAGGCCCCAAGAGGCCCCCAAGAGGCCACCTAGAGGCCACCTAGAGGCCCCAGAAAGCGCCCCCAGAAAGCCCCAGGAAGCCCTAAGAGGCCCACAAGAGGCTCTCAAGAGGCCCCCAAGCGGATCCCAGGAAGCCCCAAAACTGTCCCCAAGAGGCCCCCGCGAGTGCTCCGAACAGGCCCCAAGAAACATCCCCGAGAACTCTGACCCACAGCCCGGGCACGGTGGCGGGATGGAAAGAATGCCATCAGACATGCAAAAACGCATGATAGACGCAAGGCGAGCGGGCCGAAAGCGTGCAGGTGGGCCACGGATCGATCCTCGGCCTGAAAACGCAAAGACGACGGCGCCCAAAACGTACGAGCACGTCGATCTTCAGAACTCGAGTGGGAGATCGACTAGTTACAGAATTGACTTACCCCATAATCATTTTGTCCGTCGAATCTACGTAGTTTCATGGAGCATGCTACGCAGTGTGCAAGAGATCCGACGAAACAACTACAAGCCTGAGGTAGATCAACTAGAACGCGTACACGCGCGTCGATTTTGACAGCGGAACAAACAAGGGCATCGGTGTTTTTGTTTGCAAGAGCAGATCTACGGACGCGCAGCTGGAGGCTCGGCGGCAGCCTCGAGCGCGGCGCCGCTGGCTGCGTCGCGCAGCGGGGTGCCGCCGGCCTCGATTGCCGG